ATAGAATTCCTCTGAAGTTTCCAGGTTACTACATGCGTGTCGTGGGCTGATTATTCATTGGGTGAAATATTTTCTTCACAGCTGAGCGCCATTTTAGGAGTCAATGTGCAAGAGGTCGGCGTCGGGACATGCCAGGAGGTCGTTCGTACAGTCGCTTTGGAGAACACGTACGACAGCGAGAGCGAGGTCGACTACGAAGATAAGCGTGTCGTAGCCACCCAGGAGGCCGACGGGTGCGTGGACGGGTGCTGGGTGCGCGCTGCCCTTACTGACGGCTTCAGTATCATAGACGCCAACATCTCGGCGCTAGTGGGACCCAAGATGCAGGTCCGCACCACCTGTGGTTGTGGACACACCACACCTCCTACCCACGACACCTGCACCCCCTACACCTGTCTGAATGGTGGCAGGTGCATTCCAGCATCCTCAGGTACTAGGTGAGTTGCCAGTAACTGCCAACAACACATCCATGGGCACTAGGTGAGTTAGTGGCACATGTATCCTCAGAGCTTTGTACAAGAGTGCAACATGTTTAAAAATATGCATATAATGGGGAAAGGCAATTATATGATAAATTATAAAACAGCAGCAATTCCAACGTTGTCGCCACACATGTGCGTAAGTCGTATAGTGTGTTAACACCAGCCAAACTCTCGCCTCTGATGTGATGAAACTTGGTTACGCTCCTCTACTCTGCCATTTCATTACTTGAAAGCTCCCTCTAGTAATAATTTACATTGTAATTAATATGAATATATGTATATATGTAGATATATATATTTATATATACACATTATATATATATATATATATATATATATATATATATATATATATATATATATATATATATATATATATATATATATATATATATATATATATATATATATATATATATATATATATATATATATATATATATATATATATATATATATATATATATATATATATTTATATATATATATATATATATATATATATATATGTCGTACCTAGTAGCCAGAACGCACTTCTCAGCCTACTATGCAAGGCCCGATTTGCCTAATAAGCCAAGTTTTCATGAATTAATTGTTTTTCGACTACCTAACCTACCTAACCTGACCTAACCTAACTTTTTCGGCTACCTAACCAAACCTAACCTATAAAGATAGGTTAGGTTAGGTTAGGTAGGGTTGGTTAGGTTCGGTCATATATCTACGTTAATTTTAACTCCAATAAAATAAAATTGACCTCATACATAATGAAATAGGTAGCTTTATTATTTCATAAGAAAAAAATTAGAAAAAATATATTAATTAAGGAAAACTTGGCTTATTAGGCAAATCGGGCCTTGAATAGTAGGCCAAAAAGTGAGTTCTGGCTACTAGGTACGACATATATATATATATATATATATATATATATATATATATATATATATATATATATATATATATATATATATATATATGTCGTACCTAGTAGCCAGAACGCACTTCTCAGCCTACTATGCAAGGCCCGATTTGCCTAATAAGCCAAGTTTTACTGAATTAATATATTTTCTTTAATTTTTTTCTTATGAAATGATAAAGCTACCCATTTCATTATGTATGAGGTCAATTTTTTTTTATTGGAGGTAAAATTAACGTAGATATATGACCGAACCTAACCAACCCTACCTAACCTAACCTAACCTATCTTTATATGTTAGGTTAGGTTAGGTTGCCGAGAAAGTTAGGTTAGGTTAGGTTAGGTAGGTTAGGTCGTCGAAAAAACATTATTTCATGAAAACTTGGCTTATTAGGCAAATCGGGCCTTGCATAGTAGGCTGAAAAGTGCGTTCTGGCTACTAGGTACGACATATATATATATATGTATATATATATATATATATATATATATATATATATATATATATATATATATATATATATATATATATATATATATATACATATATATATATATGTCGTACCTAGTAGCCAGAACGCACTTCTCAGCCTACTATGCAAGGCCCGATTTGCCTAATAAGCCAAGTTTTCATGAATTAATTGTTTTTCGACTACCTAACCTACCTAACCTAACCTAGCCTAACTTTTTCGGGTACCTAACCTAACCTAACCTATAAAGATAGGTTACGTTAGGTTAGGTAGGGATGGTTAGGTTCGGTCATATTCGGTCAACGTTAATTTTAACTCCAGTAAAAAAAAAATTACCTCATACATAATGAAATAGGGAGCTTTATCAATCATATATATATACATATAAGGAAACAAATAGAGAAAATATATTAATTCAGGAAAACTTGGCCTATTACGCAAATCGGGCTTTGGATAGTAGGCTGAGAAGTGCGTTCTGGCTACTAGGTACGACATATATATATATTGTGACGGTAAAGCGTTGGTGTTCGGCTGTTTCAAAAGCTAGGGGCAGGGCCCCGTCACATTATAGAAAAAAAGAGAAAAGCTGGAGCTTTCGTCTGTGGTAAGGTAATGGGAAGACACACAAAACACAAGTAAATTAATAATGAAATTTTAATTACTCTAGAAAAACAAGACATGAATAAAGTTAAGCACATAAAATATAAAAGACATGTCAACAAACAAAATAATATGAATAATCACTGGCAAATGAAAATTTACGTTAAGACAAGTGAGTTACAGTGATAGCAAAATAAAGTATTAGTGATGGTGCTGGAATACCGGCTTCGGCTGCCACCTCCCTTAGTACACGAAAGCCAAGGCTTAGTCTACCAGCGAGAGATGTCAACTGCTTGGAGCACTGAGATATTCTGACAATACTGGAGCACTGCAGCCCAGACATCGACTTGTGGCGGAGGGCGGAGGGCAGATGCGACGGGACACCAGCCAATCAGCGACAGGCAGGCAAAGGACGAGCAGTTTGCTGGTTACGGTGGCGGGTAGCAGGTGTGCCGGTGTGCTGGATACGTTTTGCTCTCTGGGCAAAACGTTTTGGAGATATTTGGTGGACGTATCTTCTATATTATCTTGTATAGTGACGTACTTTGTAGGGAAGAGCAGGCTCAATCTCTCTTGAAAGAGATTATCGTCACAACTCTCCCCCGAAGCCTGCGGTTCTGGAAGAAGTACGTCGTCATGTGGTGGAGTAATAGGTGTAGTTTCTTCTACTTCATAAACTCTGGAGAGGGAGTCGGCTATGATGTTGTCAGACCCCTGGTATAGCGGATCTCCAGGTTGAATTTCTGCAGTTATCAAGCCCATCGTAGAAGACGTTGAGTGTAGAAGTGGGCTTGCTGCAGGAAGTGTAGGGTGTTGTGGTCCGTGTTGATGGTAGACCGAGAACATTTCAGGTATGGAGCAAAGTGCTGTAGATCCAGGATGATGAAGAGTAGCTCCTTGCCAATTGTTCCGTAGTTCCTTGTAGCTGTGGTCGCTGACAGGTGTATTCTCCTCGCCTCGTTGTTGTACTAGGTCACCCCCGATGCCGGTACCACTGGCGGCGACATGGAGGATGAAGGGCTTGGTGATATCTGACGAGGTGAGAGTGGAATTAGAATATGGCAAAGGAGCACTATTATGGTCCTGAAAATGGTTGGGAAGATCAGTAAGGATTTCTGAATTTGAAAGCGCTGACTTAGTGTCAGTGCTTTCGGGAGGAGAAGCAGGGAAGGTCTCACTGTGGATGTATGGCTCTTTAAAGGAAGAGTATAATGTCAAGACAGTGGGAGGAGTACCGTTATATAGCTTCAGGAGGTTGACGTGGCACAACTGGGTCTTCCGCCGCCTATCTGGAGTCTCTAGAACGTAGTTATGGTTGTTTCTGCACTCCTTGATGCGGTAGGGTCCTGAAAACCTGTTTTGTAAAGGAGAACCTGGGATAGGAAAATAAGCAAGTACAAAGTCTCCCGGCTTAAATTTTCTTACTTTGCTGGTCTGGTCGTAATGAGTCTTCATCCTCTCCTGTGCTTTCAATAGATTATCTTGGGCAAAACTGAGGATTCTTCCTAGAATGTGTTGTAGGTTTTGAAGAAACTGGGGCACATTCTGATGCTCACTGAAGGTGGCATCACGTAGAGAGTCTTTGAATGCCTTGAGGGGGAGTACGGCACTTACGTCCGTAGAGCATCTCATAAGGAGATACTCCTAGGGACTCATTGGGAAGACTTCTATAAATACATAATATTAGGTCAATTTGCTTATCCCAATCCTTAGAGGTTTCATTACAAAACTTCTTCAGGAGTGCTTTAATAGTCTGATGACTACGCTCAAGAGAACCCTGTGAAGCAGGATGATAGGGGCTGGACAATACCTGTTTGATGTTGAACTCCTCCAGTGTCCTTTTGAAGAGATCACTGGTGAAGTTGGTGCCACAGTCGCTCTGAACCTCCCTTGGAAATCCATACTGGGTGAAGATCTTCAATAAGTGCTTCACAACCGTAGCAGCCGTAATGTTCTTTACTGGAACTACTATGGTTAATCTGGTGGTAGCTAGGACACAGGATGGTTAAGATATAGGCGTTACCTGAACTGGTCCGAGGTAAAGGACCAACACAGTCTATAATAAGTCTGTGGAAAGGTTCCGCAGGCACCTGTATGGGAATCAGTGGCGCTCTGGGAATAGAAATGTTCGGTTTACCTGCCATCTGACATGTATGACACTGTTTGACGTACTGTTTGACGCTATTTACCATACCTGGCCAGTAGTAGTCTTGACGGATTCCATGGTAAGTCTTGTTAAATCCGTAGTGGGAGAGTGCTCCGTGGGCCAGGTGTAGAATAGTGGGCCGCAGGCTGGCAGGAATCACTAGTTGTTCGACGTTGGCCCAATCGTCCTCCTCCTTCAGTTTACTGGGTCTATATCTGCGGTAGAGCAACTCGTTCTCTAGGAAGAACCCAGGAATACTGTCAGGTTGAGTCTCAGCCTGGAAAAATAATGGTGCTAAGGTAAGATCTCTCTGTAACTTACGGAACTCCAACTTGGTCAGATTCGGGGGTAGTTTCTGAGGGTCTTGAGGGACAGCAGTAGCAGTAGAGTCAGTTGGCTGTGGTCGTGCAGCTTGTGCACGGGTGGTCACTAAAACCGGAGGAGAAACGTCATCACTCTCTTGAACCTTTGCTGGAACATACTCAAAAATAGGATTATCCGTCACAGAGGTACACACCTGGGGTTTGTCCATGACGATCAGGTTGGTCGGTTGCAGGTCTTCTGCCAAGTCGTTGCCCAGGAGAAGTTGCACTCTAGGCATGGGAAAAGGCTTTTCCCTGATGGCGACTTGGACTTCTCCGCTCACGAAGGGACAATCCAGGTGGACTCTGGCGAGAGGATAAGGAGTGGTAGCAGTGAGGTCAGTGATGAAGACAGTTTCTCCGGTGTAGGCGATGTTGGGCACAGCCGACTTCAAAATAATCGATTGAAGAGCCGCTGTGTCCCTCTAGATCTTCAATTTGAAACGTCCCTTCGGATTTGAACC